GCTATACAATACTTAATATGCTGTTAGATTATGAACCAGCTTTACGTGTCACAGGCGAAGATGAGGCATGCTTGTGCAATCTCATCCTGCAAGATTACGAGTACTGACAGAAAGTTTCCAGAAATTCACCCATGCACTAAAAGAAGTGATTCGTCCAAACAGACAAAGCACTTACCTCAAATTTAAGAATGTCATTCTCAAATAATATATTAACAATCAAAAAGATAATATTCCAACCTGTGGGTTTATCTTAACCCAAGTGCTACCGTACTTGAAGGTTAAAATAACTGAATGTGGGAACTACATTTGAGTTCTTCTTCTGTGTTATGGGTAGAAGTCAAAGTGCATGTGCTTTAACCCATTTACTGAAGCTGGGACATAAATTTCCCATTGTCGATGTAGTTTACGCCTTCTCTGCTGGATCCAGGTTCGTCATCTTAACTATCATCACTAGATGAAGAGCTAGCATTCTCTTGTCTCCTTGCTTCTTCATCATCACACATTTGAACACCACTTGACTCACTTTCACTATCTTCTGAGCTATCCGAGTCAAGCACATGAAGCATATTTACATAGTAATTAGGGTTACTACTCGACGCTCTAGCAATGCAGACACAAAACAAATTCAGAGTTATAGTTAACATTCCTTCTCCCAAGCACATTCAGTTAGTAAATAAACAATGGAACCTGTTTCAAAATATGCTCATTCACCCTAAGGACTAGAGGTAAAAACAAAATACATTTAACCCTTTCGAGACAGGTCATGGGTGAAAGGCCATGTCATCTCGTTCGTTAACTTGCATTCAAAATTTCATTGAATTACTATTTCAAGAATTTATGTCAATAAGTTTGGTATCAAACTGTAGATTATAATTCAAATTTTAGTACTATAGATTACTCAATTTTTTAACTTAAAAGTACATATTAAAAAAACAGATAAACATCGTTTTTTGTGTGTCACAAGGTATGTTGAATGCAGAACTGGTTCAAATTAGATGTTTGTGAAATCTATAGCTTCATACGAATTAGAAACTCAAATTACCAATATTTTTGATTTGCTAAGATATTACTCACGTAATAAATCAAACACAGTGGCACCCTGCCCACCTCTTTCCATTTTTGGAATAATAATTGAAATGTGACTATTTTACAAAATACAAGTCAACTAAAACACAGCCATAACAAATTACTTTGTACAAACCTAAGGTCACTTTTATGTTATTGGATACCATAACATGAATGCACATGTACCACATCATTATAACTTCATATTGTTAGCCAGACACGGTTGAAAGGTCAATATAATAAAAATAATAAATATATATAAATGTATAATGTTATGAGATTTAAGCTATTTATTCTAAACACTTATTTTTTCGTATTATAATCTGTGTTCATTCTAGAATGAAAGAGGCATAATTTATATTTATTTCCTAATTTTTTATGGTGGTTACAAGATTGGTCAAATCTACCGAACCCGTACAGAGATTAATTACTGAAAATAACAGATGAAATATCAAACGTTTCTCAAGAAAAAACTTTATAACTATCTGGACATATCTGATGCATAAAAGTATTTTTAATCTTAAAATGAAAATTACTTTGCATGTTAGATAGGCAACATGCAAAAAGAAAAAAAAGGCATGAATAATATATATCAAGCAACAAAAATGTTTGAAACTGTGTACATTTAATTCTTAGAAACAAGAGATACAAAAGGAAATTACTCTAATAATCCTCCATTCAAAGACAAACAACCAAATCGTTATATAGGGTGTAATACAATTTTCAATTACCATAATGGCTTCATGTATTTTAGACAAAATTGAAAACAGTATTAATTTGTATAAGTTATGTCTCAGAAACATTATTATTCTGCTAAACCTTAACCTCATTCTTAAAATTTAAAATCAGGCAACAATACAAATATAACTCCAATTTCAAGAAGATGAAAAAAAAAGTTGTGACTATTGATAAAACGTCGTAGTAGTTCCCAACGTAACAAAGATATTTCTTCTCAGTAGCTCAGTGCTAAGTCTGAGGGTTGATGACACTAAAAACCAGAATTCAATACCCAAAATGTGTACTCATTCCAGTGTATAACTTTGCACAACAAAATAAAGATGTCAAAAAAAAAAGTTAAATAATTCTGACGGCTAAACTGAATGCACCAATTTAGATGTTACGAGTAGTGGCAAATTAGAAGGTATGTATGTACTTAGAGTGCGTGTGTAAAAATTAACAACCTACTGTACCTTCAATCATGTCATCAAAACTGGATTTTGCATCCGGGTGACGCAGCAAAGATTTGGGCGTGAAGATAATAAGCTGTCAAATAAGAAAAAAAGATATTAAGTAGTATTACAGATCATTATTATTATAAACCACATCCTGAATAGTTTAGACTATATAATAAATTCTTAATGAATATAGTCTACTGGAAGACTTCTAGGTTGAACAACTGAGCAAGACACTTTCAAATTTTCTTTTTAATATTACTTTGAAACTCTGCTTGTGATGCTATACTTTGTGAAATGAGTATTAATAACACACTAATAATTCTGGATTTCCTATAATAAGTTGCTCAGTGCTTTTATGGCTGGTCCTTTCAAGTGGGCAGCAAGATGGATAGCTTGCTATTCATTTCTATAAACATTTGCTCCCAAGTTACTATTGATTAAATCTGATTGTCTCGTGGAACTGTTCCATTGTAATGTATAGCTTTCCGTTAATGAAATACATAAACTTAATCCTAATAAACTTGTGACCCCTGAATTGGTTGTTTCTTGATGAATGTCAGTGAATAAATGGTAAATATACTTACAGAAGGCATAATATTTAACACCAAGGATATCAACCAAAGGCTATTTTAGATATCACAATCTTCTACATATTTAACTGCATATTGCTACTTCTAAATTCTTTAACATGCTCTTCAGTTTTCTAACATTGTCCTAGAAGACTACTTTCAATTTTTTTGTTCATATCTTATATATCACTCTTCTAAGTTTTTTCCTATACACTGGTACAGTTTATTAAAATGAAAAGGTACAGTTAAAATGGTATTTGATTAGTTATACTTTTCACAAGACATTAGTGTTAGGCCTATTATATTTTTTAACACTGCACTCTTTATCTAGTCTTTTAGGGATTTTTAAGAATTAGAAGAGTAAATAATGTTCCAGACATATCCATTGCTGATGATGCATTTTGCTTATTCCAGAGCTCATCAGGCTGGCTGTGATACAACAAACACCCTAGTGGGTGGAACACTATTTATATAAGCCATTTGTTACAACAACAATTTTTATGGTGTGAATGCCTTTTCTAAGCTGGCAAAAATAGATAAATCAGGGTTCAAGAAAGAAAGAAATATTTATGGAAACTTTTTTAGGAAAATAAATAATAATGAATGTTTTCTTTTTATGTCAAAGATTTTTGGTAGTATATCTTTGTGAGAAAGTTTGACTAAAAGGATGATCATGCAGTGTTATTGAAGTGTTTTATGTCTACATTTCCTCATAAAAGTTTATCTCAAAAAGTGAGTAAAAGTTATCAATCTCAGAAGTGGCCAGTTGAAAGACCACCACATAGCATTTGTTATCAGAAGTGTAAGTGACATTTAAAATGAAAATACATTTGAGAAATTGCAGATAAATTAACAGCAGTTTGGAGAGTTTGTTGAGCTCTAAACATAAATAGTTAAATTTAATTAGATTTAAATAAATGTATTAATAATACTTATACACCCGTAATTAGTGGTATCGCTTGTTCTATATTGGTTTTAAAAGACATTCCATGTACTAGCAAATAAGCTCAGTCATAGTCTAGGAATTGCCTTATGATTGTTTTCTTTGACTGAAATACAGAAATAATTAAAATTGTTCTAGAGATATTATGTGAATAATAAATAATATCTAGTAGTTACTGGGATCAAAGAAAATCAAATAGTTTGTAAAAGTTAATATCAAACCAGATCAGACACGACTAATTTGTGTCTTTCAAGCTCAAAATTAAAAATAATGTATCTACATAACTTGAATAGTTAATATAAATAATAGTGGCTATTTTTATTTTTTTTCTCCAGCAAATAGATCAGGATTATCCAATGCACCAGCTGTTGGACATCAACATGATTGTTGTTGATTGTAGTACTCCAGCTAACTACTTTCACGTTTTGAGGAGACAGATTATTTTGCCTTTCCGTAAACCAGTAAGTTTTCTGTATTTTCAAAGAATTTAATTTCAGTCATTTTTCAATCTTTGTAAATCAAGAATTACAAATGCATTTTATAATATGACTGTAGATTTAAAAAATTTACTAGCATTCACAGTTCTACTCCAAAAGTAGATTTTGTCATCCTTATTATAATATCCGAAGCTGAAAAAAAAAGTATATTATGCTCTTGTCTATTCTTGTTGCTCTTACAAAAGTTAATCCTTGAATATTTGTACCACAAGAATTTTTTAAAGTATTAAAATGAAAAACATATACACTATTTTTATTAGCATGCTTTGTTTCAGAATGTTTTAAAGTTATTTGCAAAGATGTACATTAAAATAGATAAGCATGTGACTGATACATTTGGCAAGAGTTCCATGTTACATTGTGTTAAGGTTTTAAGTTAAAAAAAGTTACATTAAATTCTACTTCACATTAATGCCTGCAAGTCTGTACAAGAATACAATACCTATGTTTCTTTTGTATTGCAAGGAGGAAGTTTTCTTCACTAAATACGTAGTTTTTAGTGAAATTATACTCCCCATTAAATTAGACAATGTAAAGCAACAATCTGATTTTTTTGTAGTAGCAATTCATTTTGTACACAAGTCTGTTTGATTTGTCAAACTCACTTTACCTAAGTGTTTGACAAACATACATAATAAATAAACACTGATAAAATTAAAAATACATTCAAACATTGTCACATAATCATATATAAATTATCACAATAAATTATATCTTTTTGCTTGGATTTCCAGCTCAAAGTTATTCTAAAGACTGAAGATGTTCTTACAGCAGAGAATATAAATCCATACTTACTGGAAATTCATCAGGATCCTCACTGCACAACTGCAGAAAACGTTCAGGACGTCCACTAGAATGTTCTGGACCCTACAATTATTCCCAACCATTAAGGCTTCATTTAGTTAAATCATTAACACCAAGAACATAAAGATGCAAGTTTATCAACAGATAACTTATACTGAATGGTATTAAACATAAAGATGCAGGTTTATCAACAGATAAGATATACTGAATGGTATTAAACATAAAGATGCAGGTTTATCAACAGATAATATATACTGAATGGTATTAAGCATAAAGATGCAGGTTTATCAACAGATAAATTGTACTGAATGGTATTAAACATAAAGATGCAGGTTTATCAACAGATAAATTATACTGAATGGTATTAAACATAAAGATGCAGGTTTATCAACAGATAAGATATACTGAATTTTATTAAACATAAAGATGCAGGTTTATCAACAGATAAGATATACCGAATTTTATCAAACATAAAGATGCAGGTTTATCAACAGATAAAAATATACAAGATACCAAAAGTTTTTATTGTAAATTCCCAACGAGTAATATCAACAACTGCTGGGACAGAAAGGATTGAAAAAGTAATAAACCTAAGTACTGGAGTTTAGATTTAAAATAATAATAGAAATGTCAATAGGTGTGTGATCCTGAAGAGAAAGAAAAGTACCATCACATATCAGACTTGTATGACTGATACTTTCAGAGATACATAGGGAGTAAATGTCACAATTCACATACTAAGGGAAATTTGCGATTTTTAAAAAATATTGTCTTACAAAATTAAGATCTAAAAACTTGTATAATATTAAAACTTGGATTACTAGCAACATTTGTATGCTGTATTTATTAGTATACCATGATAAGAAAGTGGTTCAAAATTTGAATGTAACTCATTAAAACACCATGACATGCCCAAAAAAAGATGCCTGTAGTGAGAGGGTTAATTATTCTATGAATATTACCACAAATGAAAAATCTATAATTTTTAACTATGTTATATCAGTAATTGTTTTGTTCATGGAAAAAAACAAACTTACCATTCCTTCCATGCCATGTGGTAGCATAAGAACTAAACCACTCTGTCGCACCCACTTAGCCTGACCACTGCTGAGAAACTGGTCAATTATACACTGTGCAGTGTTAAAGAAGTCTCCAAACTGAGCCTCCCAGCACACAAGGGCATTAGGGTTTGTCATGGAAAAACCAAGTTCAAACCCTGTAACAAGAAAAAAATATTATATTGCCAACAGAACATTATCATATGCATATTTGTTTTTTTACTTATGAAGTGTGTCTTTGACTTCTTTTAGATTGATTACATATAAAAAGTAATTACTGTGATGTCAAATCTAAATCATTTCAAGATATTAATTGATAACTATGCCTACGTTAATAAGCTTACAATGTATTGGGAAAACTTATATATATTTTTGCAAGTTTTAACTGTTTTTAAATTTAAAGCTGACTAGCTGATTTATGCTCAGTTATGGTTTTAAACACATGATTAAAAGTTTTCTTCATTCAGAGTGTTTTAATCTCAATGCTAATTCAAAAGATTTTAAATCATACATAACTAATCCATGACTGGTTCAATTTGTTTTTAATTTTGTGCAAAGCTATTTGTGGGCTATCAACACTAGCTGTCCCTAATTTAGCATTAAGATTAAGAGGGAAGGCAGCTTGTAAAAACCACCCACCACTAACTCTTGGGTTACTCTTTTACTAACAAATAGTAGGATTGACTGTCACATGGTTGAAAGGGCAAGAATGTTCAGCGACAGGGATTCAAACCAATGATCCGTGGAATGTGAGTATAGCCCCATAACCACCAGGCTATACCAAACCTCAGCTAATCACTGAACACAAGAAACTGAGTGGTAGGGATCATACAGGCTTTACAAAAGAGAATTCCAAGACTTTTCAGTATTTATTTTTCTTCCAAGATTCTTACTACAATATTCAGAACACTTGAATCCTGCCACACAGAATTAAACTTTTCCTGACATTATTGTTCATCAAACATGTCTGCCAACAGATACTGCAACAGTCTCTAGAAGCAAGACGTTCACAGTAGACAATATATATAAACCTAATTCTGATAACTAAACTTTGGGTTTTCTTTAGTTTTTTTTAATAAACAAATTATTTCACGAGCTTTTTTTCTCCTGAAATTTAAACATTAGGATTTTTTCAAAACAACTGTTTTACATGATTTCCAGGATTGAAATTTGGAAGAGATCATTTTCCAAAACTTTCCAGGATTTCAAGGATCTGTGTTTGTCACTTGGATCTATTTGTGTATATTGTAGTTAATTTGTTAAAATGACATCCTTAAAATGTAAGAAGAAGAACTTTGCATATTTTGAAGTTATAGAATATTTTCTGATAAGTGTCATTAATTTTATAAATTCTAATTTCCATAGACCAGGAGCAGAAACAACTTAGCTGGGTCCCTTGGCAGAAATTAAGACGACACCCTATACTAACCCAAGTACTTAGTGCCTCTCGAAATTTTACATCCTAGATAGTCACTGAGCATGACACCGAAAATATAAAATGTGGCCGAGCATTGAGAGATCATAGTCTACAGCACTCATAATATCACAAGGACTAGAATTATCATTAATTTTATTAAGACTACTATTCTGCTTTCTTCCTTCTAATAATTAATATTATATACAGTACAGTAATTAATCTAAACAAAACTTGATTCAATATTACTCAATTGTTTTCTATAATATATGCTGATAGTACATTTCAAGATACATTCTTTTAAGGCATGCATTTTCCTGCACTACTGATAGCTAATTCACATCTTTATGACATCTACATGTATGTGAAAGGTCCTAACCTTTTACATTCAAATGGGAATATCATTTTAATATTTATCTGTACTTGTATGACTGATACTTTCATTACTGGTTTGGCTAGAAAATTCACATTCATAAAGTCTGGTGCAAAGTGCAAAATGATTTACAATACAGAGTAAACGCTACAGCTGACATGAAGGATGGTGCACTATTTTGTCGATTGTTTGGTAATGAAACATTCAAAACTTGTACATTAAGATTATACATATTAAATTTTTATAATAACTCTCACCTAAAACGCCATATTCTGACAAGGAACTGTTAGACACAGTGTAAGGGGCTTGATCAGGCCACAGCTGACACAAAGGCCGGTATGTTGTTTTATCGATAGTCTGGTGGTGAAGTACGTGGTGACGATGACTAAAAAAATATTTTACAGCAGATTGTACAACTACCTCCACAAATATCTATCAATCCAGTTTGATATAATAGTGCACACTCAGTTGAAGGTCTGTCAATATATACTTTTTGCATAAAATGTTAGTTATTTGAAAGAATAGGTTTAAAATTAGAAATATTTGAAGATAAATCACTCTTTATTTCTTTTACACAAAAACATTTTTTTTGGAAAGTTGAAATAGTGTACACGTAGTTATTTCTATTTCTTAAATAAAAATATCCAATTATTTCAACATTCATTAATTCAAAACCTTTTAAGTTAATGTAACCATTTCTAGGTTTGCCAACGTTTGTTCTTTTTTTTTTTTTATTACACATTAAGAATTTTGTATTCATACTATGTGGATAAGTACTTGAAGGCTTGTCAGTGTTAATTTAAACAAAAATAATTATTAAAACTGAAGTTTTTAAAAACTTGTACATACTTAGACATTGAATACCATGTATTTTCTTTCTGAACTAGAATCATATGTCTGCACCCCAGACAGAGCTTCTTTTATGAAGAGTAATGCTTTGTTAGTAACATATTTGAAATTAAAAACAGGTTTGATGACAATAATAGGGATTAAAAATGTAATGGCCTATATTGGTTACAAGTAAGAATTGCCATCATTAGTTTAACAGTAAACCATTCACTGTTAACTACTGCTTAAGAATTTTCCATTTTATAGTAACCTTAATTTGAAAAATAACATTTTGTTAAACTTAAGATATGCATGGCCTAATTTTGGTTTGTAAATAAACCCAAACTTAACATTAACAAAACAAGTTTACTCTGAAACAAAAATACTCAATCACAGTTACAAAATTCATCTTTATGTATGCATGTATATATATTAAATTTTATTGTCTTATTGCCCTTTGAACAGTGTCTAACTACTATCTGCACCATTATAAGTTGTAAATCACTCGAAAATGTGCAGGTCACGTTAAGCTATCGAATTACATTACCCATGAGCTACTACGAGCTGCTCGTGTGTGTGCATTGTGAACCATTTTAATTATATTATTATTATTACTTATTTTATCTAATCTAGTCTTAAATAACTTTAAAAGATTTCTATTTTTAGATATTAGTTACTTTTATAATAATAAATAAAGAATTAATATGAAAAACAGGAAATAAAGTACTTACTCAATCTTCTTTTTTCTTGCTCATGATTGTCGATAACAGTTAAGCCTACTTTTTTTTTTATACTAATGGTATTAACACACCAAATAATGTTTTCTGGATTTCTAACTATGCGACAAGAAGTGTTATAAATTCATTCAAGCTAGTGCTTGTGTTTTCCTGTGGGAAAATATTTGCACTCTGAATGAAATTGAAGATTCTGTTCCAAAGAAACATTATACAATATGTAATTTGATGATAGAAAATCTTGACTTTCTATTGGTTATAAGTAATATATAATTAAACGTAATAGAGAACTATTAACAAATCCTTAAAGAGAGGATGTGACAGGAGGGTCTGATTTTCTATTTGATGGCTCTGTAACCACACAAAATTGAAGATTATAAAAAGTATGGTTTGTCTTGGCAAAAACGATTTTATAGTGAGTAATTTATGTTACATTTCGCACATATTCAGGGGGTGATGGATAAAATAGAGAAGAGAACATACCTAGAGAAAATGTCTCATGTGTCACACTAGGGGAAATTCAGAATTTTTTAAATATTGCCTTATAGGATTAAGAACTTGAAACTTATATAATATTAAAGTATGAATTATTAGCTAAAATTTTATGCTGTATTAATTACTATAATATGAACAAAAAGTAGTTTAATAAAAATTTGAATGTAAGACACTAAAGCCTTGTGTCGTGTGCAGTAAAGGATACCCATGGCAACAGGACTAAACAAGTTGTCACTTAAAAAGAATGAAGTTAGAATGAAGAATAGTTTAGCTAGATGGAGGAGTGTATGTTTCAGTGTGTGGTGGAATCTTTCGTATCTCGAAGATCAAGAAAGAATTTCACAGCAAGATGCTCTGAAGAAGTGAAGTGTAAAGGGATGACAACCATCGAAAAAATGTAGTTTCTGTAGGCTGTGAGAGAAAAAAAGCTTGAGATACAGTTACGGTATAGCTCGTATCTTTATCGCAACTTGGTAGAGATGCTAGAATGGGAAACATACTTTCATCTAAACAGTGCAAGTTTTTTTTGGGGGAAGCTGCAGGTTGAAACAATTGGATGGCCTGGATTTCCTTCTTTGTGAATCCTACGTAAAAGGTAAAACAATGATGTTCTAAGAGTTTTTAGAATCCAGTTTTGAGCACTAGTAGGTAGTTCTATATGTTCAATTAATTCTTCATTAGTTCATATTATAGATTCACAGTCACTTGAAAAAAAAAGGTATTCCTGAATTAAAGCATAGAATAAGTATTATTAATTAAGCCTTTAGCCTTTTGAACACATGCTTATGAGTTGGTTGTTACTAGTAACATTAGTTTCCTCAAGCTTTTGTTACCTGAAAGTACCCCGTTCCACATCTTGTCCACTTAATCTCACATGGACACCTTCCTTCAGCAGAGAGCCATATGCCATGGCTTCAGCTAGTGCCCAGTCAACTGTACGAGACTCCATCATCTCCATACGACTCTTGAGTATACGTCTGATGCCTGGGTGAATTTTGAAATTTCCTGGAGGTGGTGAACTGAATACATTCCCAATATGTTTCAGGATATCCTCAGATACTCCAGTTGGGTCACATTTAATGGGGCTTCTATCACCAAAGAACCCTAAACAAAAATAAAACTTCAGTAGATATCTTCAGGCAATTTTCACAAAATACAGAAGAATGATACTGATGATATTGTTACAATAAACAGCATATCGAAGCTCATTAACAAAATTTTAATTTTCTTTCAAAGGACAGTAAATGCTTGATTTACTGTCTTTCATAATATTTTCAAGAGACAGCCTAATTATCTAGTGTTTCAAGAGCATTTGCTGAGAGAACTTATGAATATTAAATTCATGCTTATATAACATTTGAGAGACATCAATTAATGATAACAAAATAATATTCAGTAAAACTTAATCATCATAATGATGAATAAAATTAACTTCTGCATCATGATGAAACAAAGATGCTGTTCTAATACCCACACATCATATTAATAAACATATTCACAATGCTTTAGAGAGAACAGAAACAGTATTACAAAATAACAAAGAAGCTTCTGGTTTCAAGCTTAATCAGCCGAATGTAGTACTAAAGGTAATGACAAATTTATTGTAGAAGCTGAACTAAGATGTTCTGAAATAAGTTTTTGATTCATCACATTACCTGTAGAAGCATTCCCATTTTTCACCAGATCCATCCACTTACTTGTACAAAGCCTTTAACACAACTAGTAAAATTGTTTAGTAGAGTCTCTGCATCAGCATGTCCTAAGAACTGAGATCTATAGTATTATATTATCATCTTGTATAAATAAAAAAAAACAAAAAAACATGCACATCCATTCAGTGGCGTGCAGAGGTTCTATGATGCCTGAGGCCTTGTACCTAAAACCTTGGGGAAGGGCTGAAAAGGTTCTACTATTCGATTCAACTCTTTGCATTGGATGCCCTCCCGATTAGGATGCCCTGGGCCCCAGCACCTTTCGCCCCCCCCCCCAAAAAAAAACTTTTCATGAAAGTAAAAAAAAAATTCACATAAATTATAAAAATCCCCAAGTGTGTGTGGTTTCTTCTTCAATTTGTAAATTTTGCATTATAATCTTCTGTCCGCCCCAGTGAAAGCTCTGGGGGAGCCAACATCTCGAGAAACAACAAATTATTGCTCATATCACTTTGTATACTCTACACTGATTAAAATTATTCATAATCTGTTTTATCCAATCATATTTAAAAGTTGGCTCTAGCTACTTTCATAGCTGAGTTTCATTAGTAATTGTTCAGACCAATGATGTAGCAATGGTGGCAACAAAGATGTGCAGTATAAAATCACTGACAGAGAGCGAAAATGACGTGAATCATTATATTTTGAAAAGATGATAGTTTTTTAACAAATATAAATCTAATCTTTGGGATAGACACAAAAAGTCTAAAAAAATCAATAAATGTGTTTTTTAAAGGTACTCCTCAAAGTTGCACAGGAAGGAAAGTTAAAACATTTTTTATTTTCATTTGTGAATTACATTAAACAAGTCCTACATAATGTCAAAATATGAATTCTAAAATATTTGTGTGTAAAAACATTTTTGAAACTGAGTTAGAATTACTTTCTATTCTGTTCAACTAACAAAATTGATTTGAAGTTTTAAAAATGCAAATGTTTGTAAACAAATAAAAGAAGATAAAAACAGTTTCTGTTCACTTTCCACAAAGCATTATTTTTTGTATTGGTATGATTATTTATTTAACAGAACTGAGAATATGTCATTATCACCAGTTTGATATTGAGTCAGGCACTCATGAATTTTGTGTAGAAAATCTGATTAATGAGTTTTCCAGAGTCATGCATTCATTAATGTCTTGTAGAAATACTGAAGAATATCAGGAGTCGAAAGTTTACGAGTTTCGTGTTGAAAAACTGAACACTATGACATCTGAACACCTTTCAAGTGTTGAGTGCACACCTTCATATCAAATTTTTAAGTTAAAGTAGTAATTCTAACCCAGTTTCAAAAATTTTTTACACACGAATATTTTAGAATTGATATTTTGACATTATGTAGGACTTTTCACAAATTAGATATTTCCAAATTACATCATGCAAAAAATCTGTGAAAAAATACATAAACATTAATTCTCTGCAAAGAAAACCAATTTAGTCAAAACAAAAAAAGAGTAATACTTTACCACTCCATGGGGAATCCAGCCAGTCTTTGTTGTAGGTTTTGCTTTCTTTTTCTGCATTATGATAGGCTTCTAGCAGGATGCTCTCATATCTTTCTTTCTCTTCCTACAAAATGATAAGTCAATTATACCTCAAATAAACTAGTTTCTAAAAAAATTATTTCCAACAGATTATGTAAATGAGAGACAAATGAAATATTACAATAATTTCAAACAATAACTTCCATCCTGAAATTTACTTTTTATATGTTAATTATGTAGTAGTAGTAGTATGACAATCAGTTTCAAGGTTTTACTAATTACATATTGTCACACTGTATGACTGTCTTCATGTGAGACCTTAATAAATGACATATTTAATTATTATCTAGTAATGTTCCATAGTTTTCAAGACTAATTACGTTATTAATTATTGTATTTTGGCACTTGTGTATATAGTTAAAATCATAAATAATATTCAA